ATCACTACACAAGTTAGGATATATATCAATGTTGAAAAAATCGCTAAGCGCTTGGGGACCGCCTAGGAGGCCGACCGTCTAGTGTCTAGGCGCAATTTTTGCAACACTAATATATAGTAATGTTTATATTTTTTTCATGTTTATTGAATGTTGTTATTGACTTAAGAAATAATACAAATATATAAATCAATTCAAATCAAATCAATTTTTTTGGTTAAATTACAAAAATGTAATAAGAAAAAGGATAAAAAAGGAGAAACGCAATGACAATATAATAACCTAAAGGAAAAATATAGCTAAATTAAACAAAGATTTTCTTCTCCCAAAATGTTGAATCTATAATCCCAAAGGTCATTGCACTCGGACACGATAGAATATTTGGGAGGATGCAAATCACGGTGATTCAATGACTTAACAAACATGGTCAAATGTTAGTGTGCACAAGGGATATGCCTCTTTGAGCATAATCCTAAATCGCCACGTTGTCGTTGTCGATTTTCAAACATGAGTCTTTTCTCCCAAATACGACATATTGAGCCATTGAACTAAGTCCGTGTGGGCAAAACAATCAAGATCTAACAATCTGATAGCGTTTGAAGTCAAATCGTGGTTGAATTCTCTCTAAATATGGGTCTAACAATGTTTTTATTGGGTGCCTCTAGTGGTCAAAGCCTCTCCAAGTATAAGTTCAGCAAACAAATAAAAGAAGTTCCCACACTGAACTTGTCAAAAATCTTTAGAGAATAACCAAATTATCAACTTTGATGGAAGTGTTGTTATTTTTTTATTTAGTTTTGTAAACAAGTAAATATTTGTATACTAACTTGTTTGAAACCAAACCAAACACTCAAACAAACAATAGCTTCTACTTTCTCAGTTTCTCCAATCATTTGAATCAGTCTCTATCACTCACTAGGATTGCTCTGTCCTTAGCCACTCACCTCCACTCCCCCGGACTGCCATCGCCGTGATGGCGTCTTTGGCCGTCACCTCCGCCGTGAACCCCCGTTTCCGGCCACACCGTCTCTCCTTCCATCGCCCCCTCCAATTCAACCTTAAATCTGCGAAAACCGAGCTCCTTATTACTCCCGGGCTCAAGAACCATGAAAGAAACAATGTGAAGCGGTTGCATCATATAGTAAAGGCCTCAGCTTCCGGAGCTTCCACGGCCCCCGCCGCCGGTGGCGCCGCGCCGGCTCAGCCGTGGCAAGGCGCTGCGATTAAGCCGCTTCTGGCGTCCATCGCGACGGGGGTGATTCTCTGGTTCGTCCCGCAGCCCGGCGGGGTTTCCCGGAACGCGTGGCAGTTGCTGTCGATTTTCCTGGCCACCATCGTGGGAATCATCACCCAGCCGCTGCCGCTCGGCGCCGTCGCGTTGATGGGCCTCGGCGCGTGCGTGCTGACAAAAACTCTCACGTTCGCCGCCGCGTTTTCCGCGTTCGGCGACCCCATCCCCTGGCTAATCGCGCTCGCGTTCTTCTTCGCCCGGGGGTTTATCAAGACCGGGCTGGGCAACAGAATCGCCTACCAGTTCGTCTCGCTCTTCGGCAGCTCCTCCCTGGGGCTCGGCTACAGTTTGGTATTCAGCGAGGCTCTGTTAGCGCCGGCGATTCCCTCCGTATCCGCACGCGCCGGCGGGATTTTCTTGCCGCTGGTGAAGTCCCTCTGCGCGGCCTGCGGGAGCAACGCCGGCGACGGGACGGAGCACAAATTGGGCGCGTGGCTGATGTTAACTTGCTTCCAGACGTCTGTAATCTCGTCCTCCATGTTCTTGACGGGCATGGCGGCCAATCCTTTGAGCGCCAATTTGACGGCCACTACGATAGGGCAGACTATTGGGTGGATGGATTGGGCCAAAGCCGCCTTCGTTCCCGGTTTGGTGTCGCTGTTTGTGGTGCCATTGCTGCTCTACATTGTGTATCCCCCGACGGTGAAGAGTAGCCCTGATGCCCCTAAGCTTGCCAGAGAGAAATTGGAGAAGATGGGGCCAATGTCTTTGAATGAGATCATAATGTCTGCAACTCTGCTTATTACGGTAAATCATTTTTTAGGCTCAGTGTTTCACATAGGGTGTAGGATTCCATTCAACAAATGTTAGAATTCGATTCGGTTAATGTTGAGCTCGAGCTTGAGTAGTTCCAACTAGGCAGCCGCCTGGCGCCTAACTCGGCCGACTAGGCAGCCGCCTGGCGCCTAACTCGGCCGACTAGGCAGCCGCCTGGCGCCTAACTCGGCCGACTAGGCAGCCGCCTGGCGCCTAACTCGGCCGAATTCGACCAAGTTAAGTTAGCTGCACACGTGAATTATTTTTTTTAGTTAGTCGTCTGCCTAGGTGCTACTGCAATCATGTCTGCAACCATTATTGGATGGTGTGCACAGGCTTTTCACCCTAGTTGGCAAATGACCACAAGAAGGTAAACCAGTCTAGGTTGACTAGTTCAAACTAAGAAGGTCAGTAAGTCGATCTTGTGATTATCAAGTTAACAGTTTGACCAACTTGGTTGGAGTTGCCCAGTCAATTTAAATTTGAATATCTTAATACTCAGCTCAAAGAATTAGAGTTTGAATTGGTCAAGCTTGAGTTTGACTATACAGATTTGGTAGGACTTGACTAACACCCCTAGTTTTGCATGAAAGCTTTGTGAAATGTCAGCAAATCATAAAAGTTTCAAACTTCATTCTCAACCAATATGCAGTAATCATCACTTTAACTCAAGATAGATGCATAAATAGGGATTTGTCAAATGATGGGACATTGCAAGAAAGCTCAAGAATTCTGAGGAATTGTCCCTTGATCTCAACCAAAATGTAGTAATCTTGTATTGCATTTCTTTTATAAATGTCCCTCTAACAGACCAAAGCCTAGCTTTTGTTTCATGTTTTCTTGTGTTTGCATTTTACCAGGTGGGTCTTTGGGTTTTTGGCAGCGTGTTAAATATAGACGCTGTTACTGCCGCGATTCTTGGGTTAACTATCCTCCTGGTGACCGGAGTAGTCTCATGGAAGGAATGTTTATCCGAAGCAGTTGCTTGGGATACCCTCACTTGGTTCGCGGCGCTCATTGCCATGGCGGGTTATCTAAACAAATATGGCCTAATCTCGTGGTTTAGCGAGACTGTTGTCAAGGTTTAACTTGTTTTCTCTGCATTCTTTCTTCATTGTTATTATTAGTAGTTGATGACTGACTTATCACTTATATATGCATATATTCACCTGGAAAATGATTCAGGTTGTTGGTGGATTAGGCCTATCATGGCAGCTATCGTTCGGGATCCTAGTTCTCCTCTACTTCTACTCCCACTACTTCTTTGCGAGCGGGGCTGCTCACATTGGGGCCATGTTTACCGCATTCTTATCTGTCGCTAGTGCTCTTGGCACGCCCCCGTACTTGGGAGCCCTGGTGTTGTCGTTCCTCTCGAACATCATGGGCGGCCTCACCCACTATGGGATCGGATCCGCGCCCGTGTTTTATGGCGCGAACTATGTCCCACTTGCCAAATGGTGGGGGTATGGGTTTTTAGTCTCTGTGGTTAATATTATCATTTGGCTTGGAGTTGGAGGGATTTGGTGGAAAGCCATTGGGTTGTGGTGATTGCTTCTTTAGATGGGCAAGTAGTTTTGTATTCTTTGCCTTGAAAGGTTGAGTTTTTAGTGGGGAGAGATGTAGTGGATGATGCTTTTTGCACATAGTTGGGGTTGTTTATACTTGGAAGTTCAGATTTGTATGCAGAATTATTTATACAAAAAGAAACTTCAAGTTGTACATTTTTTAGTTTTCTCATATCCTCACACTGTGAGATTAATTCAGGTTCAATTCAAGTCAAACTTGCATAATGTAGTTTAACACTATATACATTTCATCATAGCCCCTGGTGGGAACATAGTATGGTTAGTAGTGTACTAATAGGAATGACAATTTAAAACAATGTGTGATTGCCATTCAAAAAAAAAAAAATGTGCGATTCATTTTAGCAGTTTGCACACATATTTCTTCAAAAGTAAGAGCTCAATTATTCTTTTTTCGTAATCTAAGAGATGAAATGAAAGCCAAGCATCTTGTGAGGGAAGGCCACATGATCGACTCTTTAGGTTGCTATAGTTAGAGAAAGTATAAATTTGATATTACCTTATAATAGAGTCAATAGGGAGATGAAATGAAATTATTTTATTTTCGATTTAAGAGGCTTATTTCACATTTTCTTTCCTAATTTATATGAAACATAGTGCCAAAACTCTAAAACGCCTTTCCTAATTTATATAAAACATAGTGCCGAAACTTTCAACCGCCTTTAATAGATATTGGTTCAAATGCAAACAGTACTTTCCGTGCGAGGACCGATGTGAATTCACAATTAGGTATGTAAAAATGCATCACACAGTGTTCGGAAATACATTTAATAGTGCATTTTTAAACACTTTATGCATCACACAGTGTTCGGAAATACATTTAATAGTGCATTTTTAAACACTTTAGAGTGCATTCATAGTGACTAATCACACAAGAAATATGGCAAATTATGCTGTGCATCCGTATGCACCATGCAAAAACGACGTCGTTTTATTAAAAACGCGCGTCTCACTTTAAAAAAAAAAAATCAGTTTCGATTCCTAGCAACAACATATGAACTAAAATTCCAGAATCGATGAACTACAATTCCATAATCAATGAACTAAAATTCCAAAATCTAATCTATGAACTAAAAATTCCAGAATGAATGAACTAAAATTTCAGAATCGATAAACTAAAATTCCAGAATCGATGAACTACAATTCTAGAATAAATGAATTAAAATTCCAGAATCTTTGAACTAAAATTTCAGAATAAATGAACAATATAATGCTATTGAGGAGAATCAAACTTGATTTTTAAAAAAAAAAAAAAAAAATAAGATGCACATTTTTAATAAAACGACGTCATTTTTGTATCTCTATGCAGCTGCACAACATAACTATCCAAGAAATATTGTCCGCATGAGAATATGACCCGCCTTATATTGGGTCCGTAAAGGTTGGGTGCGTGGTATATTTTGCAGGTGACGCAGCGAGCGGTGACGAAACTGGAATCGGGTCGTCCTGTTCAGCCCACCTCCTGTGACTCCCATTCGAAGCAAAACCGCAATTTCCAAAAATTCAACAAATCGAAACCTCCGATTCCCTTTTCCTCTCATTGGCGCATGAACTCCATCTCGATTCGCTCCCGACCGCCATGCCGACGTCAGCCTCACCGACGCCGCATCATTACAGCCGCACCGAGGACCTGATCGGACGGCTGAGCTCCACCAGCCCCGAGATTCAGCTCAAGGCGCTCCGGGAGGTTAAGAACCAGATAATCGGGAATCGAACTAAGAAGCTCTCGTTCCTCAAGCTCGGTGCCGTCCCCGCCGTAGTTTCGGTTCTTTCCTCGGTCGCGTCCGCTCAGGTCGGCGGAGAAATCCACGATTCGCTCGTAATTCAGTCCGCTGCTGCGATTGGGAGCTTTTCCTGCGGTTTTGATGCGGGAGTTAAGGCGGTTCTCGAGGCCGGAGCTTTTCCCCTCCTTCTCCGCCTAATTTATCATTCCAACGACAAGGTGATTTTGATATTTCTGCACCTCCATTTTGCTTAACACTTCTAACTGCTTCCATGTGATTTTGTAGTTACGTCCCCTCTTAACATTAAATTAAATCTTAATTCTGTAAACTTAGTAATTTCTCTGCCTTAGTAAATTGAGCTCACTTATTTGGATGTGTTCCATTGCTGCCTACCTTTTTCTTTTGGTGATATGCAATTGAATGCTACACAATTCCACTAATGATGTCTCATGCACAAATTTCTGTTTAATTAAGAGCACATGATTGTTGACTTCTATTAGCTCTAAAATCTTTGCTTCTTTACTCCATTATTCTGTAGGTTGTGGATGCTGGTGCACGGTCACTCAAGTTGATTTATCAGTCAAGACTGGCTCCAAAATATGATTTTATTCAAGTGGAAAATGTAGAATTTATCCTTTTTCTATTGAGCAGTGAGAATGAAAATGTTTCTGGACTTGGTGCAAGTATAATCTCCCATTCTTGCAAGACATGTGGAGAACAGAAGGCATTGAGTGATGCTGGAGTTACAAAGAAACTTATTAGTCTTCTTAGAGGCTCTCTTGTTCAGAGGGATGCTAGTCTAGAAGCCCTGGCCACAATTGTGAAAGGAAACCCCGAAGTCATTTTGAAATTTATGGAACCTGAAAGTGGAAGAGCTTTGAGTACAGTTATTGAGTTAACCAAGGATAAAAATTCTCGAACAAAACTGCTTGCCTGCACATGTTTGATTTCAATAAGAAACACTTCTCATTCTTATCTTCAGGATGTACAAATCAAAAGAAAATTGATATTAATATTACTGGAACTTCTTGAGGATTCTGGTCAAGTTGGGGATGAAGCTCCTTTTGTTTTATCTAGTTTACTTTCAGAAAATGAGGAACTACAAAGATTAGCATTTGAAGCAAATGCTATTAATAGACTTTGCAAACACCTGGAAAAGGGCTCACTACAACCAAGGAGATCACAGGGAATATTGCATGCATTAGCTGATCTCTGTTCAAGGCTGGAATGCTGTAAGGATCGGCTCCTATCATTAGAGGTCTGATTCTTTAGTATAATACTATTATTTTTATTGACATTAAGGTTACTTCATTCTATATTATGTGCTTTAAGGGAGAGAATTAAATTGGTGAAATCTTGATCTAAGCAGTTTCCTGTTTTTGTGAAATGCTATATCAAAGATGATCATTTTGCTCAACCAGTAATTTGGAAGCATTATAAATCGTGACTTTGGAAAAGATCAATATTATCCTGCTGTGTCTTGAAAAATTGAATTAAGTTAACATGAAGAGTTAAATGGAGAGTTTTACGAACATATATGGAAGGTTGTTTTTATGGTTTCCCTTGTGGCCGTTGTATCTATTTCAAATTCAACTGTAAGTCTACACCACCTTAATCATACGTGTTTTAGATTGCAAGATGTGATTGTACAAAATATTGTTGTAGTTCTTATCATTATAGCTACTTTGAAGATTAGATATTTTTCTTGCATTTTAAAGCCTTAACCACCTCATCTGGTCTGATGGAGTTTTTTATGTGCTAAGATATGGTAGAAACAATAACCTTTAGGGGCACTAAGAAAGGAAGTTTTAAAATCACATAGACTATTTAAGAATTTCCCATCTCTTCTATGCTAATCAGTTTTTCTCTTGATTCGAAATCCTTATATACTATTTGACTTGATGATATAGTAAGAAGTTTTTGGTGGGAATATGCTGAATATAATGAAGGGAGGGTATGGTGCAAGAAAAAGTGAAAAACAAGGTATTTCTGTATGAAGCTTGTCACTAGATTTCAGAAGCATTAAAGTCATCCATTTTGACTGCTTTCACAGAATTAAATATGCCCTAAGAAACATCTGTTACTCCTTTTTTATCTTCCAGGCTTTGAAGCTTGTGACTGATGCCCTTAGCTCCAAGAGTCCCGAAGTTCGTGTTGCAGCTTGCATTTGTCTGAAAAATGTATCTCGTTCAGTCAAGGTTTGTAATATGTTATGTTATGTTATGTTGAATCTTGTCTACAATGTACTGCTTTATGCTAACGACGTATTATTCAGAACCTGAGTGCAGGTTGTTTCATGAAAGAAACTGTAATAGTCCCCTTGGTTGAGCTTTTATTTGACGACTCTGACATTGTACAGGTATTTTCATTTCTCTCCATGTTGGTTACCTAATCACTATTTTTACATTTTGGCACTACTGTTAGCTTGCTGATGTGTTCATGGCATTGGCAATCTCTTTATTTGTATATTTACTATTTATCCTCATGTCATAGTGTCCTACATCCACACATGTGCACATCCCTCTACACATTTGGATTTTTTAAATTATGAATAAGTTTGTTACCCTGAATCGTTATTCGTTACCATAGACATTGCATATTTTATGAGATCATTCATGATTAGTTGGCTCTTCATGTCTTTTATTATTGTTGTTGTTAAGTTTGGGTTGCTTTTCAATCTTCATTTTCTAGGTTGCCGCCCTTGGTGCCATTAGCAATGTAGTGGTTGACTTTGCGGCAAATAAGTCAATGTTCATGCAATGTGGAGGTGTGAAACAGCTTGTTCAACTTTCAAGGTCAATGGATTCAACTATTAGGGTAAAAGCAGTGTGTGCTTTGAGGAATCTGATATTCCTTGTAAACAACAGGTGCAAGGAAGAGATCCTATTGGAACTCACACAACCAATGTTAAGATGTCTTATTTGTGGTAACTGTTTGAAATTGTTTGTCATCCTGGTGATATATTAGTGAAAAATTCTCTTGGTTTCAAAATAAACTATTCTGACACTGCAGATTCTGAAGCCAGTGTTCAAGAGCAAGCTTTGGCTCTTGTTCGCAATCTTGTTGATGGACCTATAGATTGCATCGATTATGTCTTTGTTGAGGATGCTCTTCTGCTACATGCTGTAGGGAGACAACTGCAAAGTGCTTTAAAAACTGAAGTTTTAATTCAGGCAAGTCTTTTCCTTTTTCTCTCTGATTTGGATTTTTCATAGTCTCTCTTGCAAGTAGCTGAACATGGGCATATGAGAGATGTGATATGACAATAATATGGTAGCAGAGACTTGATGCATAGTATAGGGACAAGGTTGGGCAGATGGCAATACTAAAAATATGTATGTTCAATGCAGGGTATGTATGTCCTTGGCAATGTAGCATCTGGAAATGAATTCCACAAGGAAGCAGTTATGCACCAGCTTTTCCCACCTTCGTCTAATGACACCCACTCAGTGGTCTTTAAGTTCTTGCAGAGTCATGACAGCCAATTACGCACTGCTGCTGTTTGGGCTTTAGTAAATCTAACTTTTCCAAGCGGTCCTGGAGCATTTCATCGGGCTGTGAAACTACGAAATTCAGGAGTTCTTTCCCAACTGAAGAACATGGTCAATGATCCCTGCTTGGATGTGAAGGTCAGTTACAAATTGACTGAAACTAAACTACATGTAGATTATCATTAGTGTCTTTTTTTCAGTCTGTCTGACTTTTTGTTTTATTGCAGCTTAGAGCAAGAACAGCTCTTGGGCAATCAGTGACTTCTGGTGATGGCTCAGCATGAATATTATGTTTATATATGCTTAATCGAATGGCTAGCACAACAGTCCCAGTGGAGCATGATCGTTTGGGCTTCAACTTGTTTTAAAGTGCCATTTCTTTACCTGGACCTTTAAGATCATGGTATGCCTATGCCTTGATCAATATTTACAACCATTTTATTTACAATGATTGCAATCATGGCAACATCTCAGCATGAAATAATCAAATGATGCTCTTCCAGAAAATACTCAAAATACAGAGTTCCAATTCTTTTGTGAAATACACTCAAATGTGATATTGTGTTGACTCTTGTCTCACTTCAAAGTACACTATGTTACTGGAAATTTCTGATTGCTTTCCATATCCTTCCAAACATGATTGACATTGATATTTTGTCGTGAGTTATCTTCTGAGTCAACCAATCCTTTTGACTTACATGCCAAAATGTGGTTTCATTTGGTGGAATCTGTTTATTGATTATGATTTTTAAAATATCTATTTTCTTAATATAATACTCACTGATGGACTATTGACTATTCAACATACTTCACAACATGATGAGCCAACTTTGATTTCTCATTGACATATTTCTTTTGCAGGCTTAAGCATTTACTACAATATCTTTCTGTTCGAAGCTTCACGGGGGAGCATGCTTATGTTGTGTGTGATGTTTGCTGAGCAGGTCATCTTCAAGAGTTTTGTTTCCATGACCTCTCCGACGGTTAGCGATTGTTGAGAACTATTGTTATTTCTATGTATGTATAATGTTTGCAACAGGTGTAGTTTACCCCTTCCCCGTCATGACAACATGCTTCTCTCTATGTTTTGGTTTTACATATTTCCGATTTTACCCCTGCTGAGTGAGTCCCTCATGGGGTATGGGTGGGGAATCCTTATTCCTCACCCCACAAGGTACAATGTATGTAAGTTTTGTATCTCGGAATAATCTTAAAAGCTCAAATCTTGATCTCCTCCTGTGGTTTCCTTTTGCTGAAGTCTTGTAAAAGTGTACATTGCCTTCTATTAAGGATGATGTAGAGAACAGATTGTGGTCACGGGGAAAAGCTGATAGAAATGTGTCCAAAGGCCAGCCATGTTATAACCCCGTCAGGGCAGCTTGTTTATCTTTTCTTGTCATGGATTCCTCTTATTGTGGGGACATTTTTAGCAAACATGTGTTATGCACCTACAGTTATGGAACACAGTAATACTGTATGTACCTCCATATTGGGGTGTTTGGTTGGATGTAGTTGGAATTCTTTTCCTACTTTATTTAATTATTTAATTATTTCATGGCAACACAAATTATAGTGTTTGGTTGTACGGAATTGATTCCCTCTTTTAATTGAATTGCAATTCATAGGTATCCCCCATGGTTGTGGGAAAAGAAAAAAGAAAATAAATGACAAAATTATCCTTTGGCCATTATTATTATTATTATTATTATTATTATTATTATTATTATTAGAAAAAATTACATATTTAGTCCTTGAGTTATAATCAAGTTTTAACTTAGTCCCTAAGTTATGGCTGTATTCGAGTTTAGTCCTTCAGTTATGAGCGAAGTGGTGAGTTTAGTCTCTAATGCTAGTGCTGTGTTGACAAAGTTAATTTCAGGAATAAAAAAGTAAATTCTTTAATAAAACTTGTAAATTTAACTAAAATACTTTCCTTCCTTCAAATCGCTAAAAGCTCGAAGAAACGATACTCCCGTTTAAAAAAAAAAATTAAATTTCAATATTTCAATTCGATTTATATTAAAAAAAAAAAATTAAATTACATTTTTTTGACAAATATAAAATTTGCTCAATAACAACGACAAATTTGGTATCTTTTCCCTCTATTAGTATAACTTCATGACATTTTGATGGGTAATGAATAATCACAAGGCTAAATTAGTTCATCAATACGGAGAATATTAATTATTTATTTAAACATATAAAATAGATAAACAACTTACCTGTGAATTTCACGGCTTGGAATTGGCAAATAGAAAAAAACTAAAACTTTTGATTGTAGGTATAAGAAGAATAGGACGACTGTTGCGCAATAGGTTTCAACATAAGAAGGGAATTATAATTTGAAATTTATATTTTATCCCTCGATTATTAAATTATTTTTATGTTTTCCGTTAGCTGCAGTCGGAGTATTAACGCTAGGGACCAAAGTCACCACTTCGCTCATAACTGAGAGACTAAACTCGAATACGACCCTAACTTATGGACTGAGTCGAAACTCGGTTATAACTCAGGGAGATGCAATTTTCCCTTATTATTATTATTATTATTATTATTATTATTATTACACAAGAATATTTTCTTTATACTATTTTTTTCTTTCTCATTCTCAATAATTCTATTTTTCATACCAAACAATGTAATTTGAATTCTTACTTTATTTTTATTGAATTACAATTTTTTTTCCTTAATTCCCTTTTCCAACCAAATATCATGTAAATTTTTCTTCTCATTTCAACATAAACTTAATTGCTATATGAGTTTATTTCCATTCTCCACGACATGCCAATTAATAATTATTTATAATTAAATATTAATTAATAATTTAATATTTAACATATATGGATTTTTACGATACATATAATACCAAATATAAAATACGGTAATATTTTTGTAATTATCAATATATATATAATTAAGAAAATGAAATTATAAAATTAATTAAATCTGTGTTCATCAATGTTTAGAAATTTTCTTAAATACACACACACACACACACACACACACACACACACACACACATATATATATATATATATATATATATATATATATACTTATGTACTATATTAATTATACAAAATTAAAATACTATTTTGTTAATTTCTAAATGTAATATAAATTATATTATAGAATTTATCTAAATACATATTAATAAATATTATATGCATATACAACATATTATACAATAATATAAGAAAATATGTCATATTAAAATTTAAATTACTTATACAATTTAAAATTAATATATTTTTTTAATTTTTAAATATAATTCTTTTAATTATTATTCATATTATTGAAATTATAATATATATGAAACATAAAATTAGTTTAATTATATCGTTTGATTAAGCTCAAGGAGTCACAGAAGTTTCGTTTAATTAAGCTCCTACGCATAACCAAACGAAGCCCTGATTGCATTCTCAAGGACAAGAAAGAAGCAAAACCCTCCAATCCCCAAGCCCTAAAGCTCGGGATAAACACACGAAGAATACAGATTCATCGTTTTGCTCTTCTAGAAGCTACAATTTAACGATGTTTTACAGAGGGTAAGAAGTAATAAGCCTTCTTTTTTATTTGATTTGATTCTTTGTTGTATTGGTACGAAGAATTGAAGTAATTTCTGGGTGGCATTTGGCTTCATATGAATAGTTTACGACGCAGAATCTGATATATTTGGTTATAATAACACTATGTTCCAATCCAAATATTTATAGATAATCCCATCGCCATACTTTTTGCTTGAGCTCTTCCCTGAAAGCAATTCGCTTTTGGAGCTCCAAAACTCTTGCCGGTAGGCGGCGCCATAGATGAACAGCCCTAACTTTATGAGGCACTTTAAGCCCGAACCATACTCATACTAATCCCCCTTCATACTAGACCGGCCCAATTAAGGGGCAAAGTGCTGGCCATTCCGAGTTTGCTCCCAACTGACGAGATTGCACGACTACTCACGCAACCAAGCTGGTTTGTATAGTTTCTTTCTTTGATAACTCAATGAAGAGAAATATGACCAACAAACCGTTGTTCAAATGTAAATAATTTTTTTTTTTTTTTTTTTTTGGGGGGGGGGGGGGGGGGCGGGGGGAGGGGGGGTATAACTTTTTTAAATTGATGTTCTTGCAATTAGATTGTCTTTCTTGGGGCAACCCAGTCAGTTAGTCAGACTAAGTTGGCTATTGGCATTATAAGTTCTACTTTCCGCGTGAGTGGCCTATTGGCCTTCTTAGTTTTAGTTGGATACTATGGACAATCTAGGCTTGTTTACCTCCTTGTGGTCCTTTGTTTAGAGTCACAAGGTGGGGTTTACCAAGTGATTGTGGGGTTTACTAAGTGCACACCTGCGGGTAGTGATTACGGGTCACTCAAAAAAAAAAAAAAGATAGTGACTTTTTGTTTTCATTTCATTTGTTGTTTTTGTTAATCTTTTGCTATCCGGAGAGTAGTTGGGTAATGCATAAGTATCATAGTTTTAAGTACGATTGTACTGGTTTATGCACAATGTAGTTTAAGTAGTGACTGAAGTATTTGATTTATGATTGTAATACAGAAGGCATTTTGATAGTGGTGATCCCAGGGAAATGGGGCTGAAAAGGCAGCGCGTAATGGATGAGGGATCTTCTTTTTATTCGGTTCCGCCAGTTTCAAATTATATTTACAACCCTCCTCCTCCCCCTCCTCCGGATAACCCTTATATTGGCAAGCCTCCAGCTTTTCCTGTTGTTCGACTTCGTGGCCTCCCATTTGGTTGCACAGAGGGTGAGATTGCGGATTTCTTGCACGGTTTGGATGTAGTTGATGTGCTGCTTGTTCACAAGGGCGGTAAGTTTACTGGAGAAGCTTATTGTGTTCTTGGATACCCTCTTCAAGTCGATTTTGCTCTTCAAAGGAACAGGCAGAACATGGGTAAAAGATATGTTGAGGTTTTCAAAAGTGAGAAGAAGGAATATTATAGGGCTGTAGCAAATGAACTCTCAGATGCTCGTAGTGTTTCAGTTCCAAAGGCAAGGTCTTCTGAAGACGGGAGGGGCTTTACTCGTAGTGGTTCAATTCCGAGGGCAAGGTCTTCTGAAGATGGGAAGGACTTGGAAGAACATACTGGAGTGCTACGCTTGAGGGGTCTGCCATTCTCTGCTAGCAAGGAAGATATTATAAAATTCTTCGAGGATTTTTCTCTTTCAGAAAACTCGATTCATTTAACTGCCAATTCAGCAGGGAGGGCAACCGGGGAAGCATTTGTTGAGTTCTCGGATGCAGAAGACTCAAAAGCTGCAATGGCTAATGATAGGATGACAATAGGGAGTAGGTATATTGAGCTTTTCCCTTCATCTCGTGAGGAATTGGAGGAAGCGGTTTCAAGGGGCAGGTAACGATTTTTGCGTCATATCACATATGCTCTTCTATTCAGTAATTGTTAGTTCCTTGCCTTTAACAAATGATTATTCGTTTCATTCTTCTATAAATGCTCAATGAGTTGCCTGTCTCTTAGCTATCTTATTGGCATTTCATTCTTCTATAAATGCTCAATGAGTTGCCTGTCTCTTAGCTATGTTATTGGCATGGTTGAAAAAATCGCTAGGCGCTCCTCGGGTTATTTTTTAAAAATTTTTAGGGTGTGTTTGGTTGACAGGTTTAGCTATCATGAATGGGTATCAAAGTCATTGTTATTGTTTGGTTTGCAGTTTTTTAGAACACTAATATGGGTTTAATTGAAAAACTCATTCCCTAATAAAATAAGGGTTTCATTCCATTATTCCTCCTCAGCCTAATCATTCCCATTCCACCTTACTACCAAACATGCAAAATACTTTCACCAAACCCCATTACCATTACTAAGTATTTGATACCCGTTCCGACTTCGATTCCCATGTGCGAACCAAACACACCTTTAATTTTTTAAGACTTGATAATTATAAACTATTTAATACTAAAATGTTAAATATTAACCTAAAAAAACAACTAGAGTTTGAACAATTTAGGGTTATTTTGCTCAAAACGATGTCATTTTGAGTGAAATAACCCATATAAAAAAGAAGGGAACAATAGCTATTCGGCCGACTAGGCGACCTTGTTGGTGCCTAGACGGCCTAGTTGGTGCCTAGGACTCTAGGGGGCCTAGTTGGTGCCTAGGAAGCCTAGGCGGCCTAGTCAGCTGCCTAGACCACCGATTATGGTGATAAGCTAGGCGGTCGACCAACGTCTAGGCACCGATTAATGGGTGCCTAGGTGGGATTTTTGCCAACATGTGTAGTGGTGCAAATATAATCTTACAAGGTTATGGAAATGG